CCCCAAAACCCCAAAACCCCAAAACCCCAAAACCCCAGATAATTATTATAAATTGACACTAATGGAAGATTCCAATCTTGCTGACTTGCCCCAAGGCTTACAGATGACTGAGGAAGAACACATGGAAAAGATCAGAAGACAGATGAAATCAAACATCGTATACCACGTAAGCGATTGAACCTCTGATCCTATAGTTAACTTGGTGTTTACTTTCATGTCTCATAATACTCTATACACCTGATGATTCGTGCCAAATTCCGGTTCACTTACTGCTAATAATCCGAATGTCTATCAGGTTGTTCTATTCTTTACCATTTAAAGTGATTTCATACTACTTGGCAAAACAGAGAGTGATAAACCCTAGTTCTGTATCGATCCTCTCTACTGCAGTTGCGACACCTCTATTTTTCTGGTACACATTCATGGTGATCCTATTCTTCACTAAGTACAACGACTGCAAGGAGAGTTCGTTCCCGCTATACCTTGGCTTGCTACTGCTCGTAGTTGAGAGCATCTTGTATCTGATCTTTTTCATTCTGATATCAATGCTCCTCTGATGAATAGGTATCCTTACCTCAGTAATCTGATTCATTAAGTGGAGAAATAAGAATAATAACAAAAAGATTAGTAACCTCTTGTTGAAGGCCAAAGGGCTCAGGAAAGATCCCAGAGAATGCGAACATGCTGAAGAATGATGTATCTGATTTGGAGAATTTGGATCAGACTCGAAAGTTATATGTCTACCTTGAAATGATAAACATTATTTTCACTCAAAATGTATTAGTGAATGGATGAAAACCAGGAATAGCTGCCCTATTTGTAAAAGTGTGGTTACTGTAGAATTACTTAAGCAGTACAAAAAGAAGAGGCCTGTGGTGACTGAAATGCAGAGAATCAATACTACTTCAAATTCGAGTGCAGTTCAGTAGAAATTACGAAATCCTGTAATTTTAAATTTGATTTGCAAAATTGATAGCTCTTTCAAGCTGAAATTCATTTTAAGGGGTTTTGGGGTTTTGGGGTTTTGGGGTTTTGGGG